CCCAGACTACAAAAATATATAGCAGACGAAAATTCACGGATAGAGGTCTATCAACCTCATTTTCCACCTGTTAAACTCGAACTGAAAATGATCCACAATAGAAAATGAAAGCAAATTTTCAATTTAAATACAGACATCTTGAATTCAATTTGTGGAACCGACCATAGAAAAATGGCACTTATTATTTTGCCACGAATCAATGCACAGTGCTGTATTAATGTAAAACCTATTCGGTCTAAGATCCCATACCTGAACGTCGCGCGTTCTTCCTATTATATGGAAGTAAAAGGTATTTTTGAATTATTGGATATTAATTTCCTTTTATGCTATCGATAAATTCGATGGCGGAATTATTTTAATGAAAATACCTGGTGTAAGTTATATTGACATTGTGGTTTGTTATACATATAATTTCGTTTTGAGTAACAATGGCGAAAATTCTATTAACGTGGTTGATATTCATGGCTTATTACTGCTTTATCGGAAAATTGGGCAGGGATTATAATGAAATGAAAACGTTATTTCGTTATGTTCTTTCTGTTAAAACTTTTTGATATTTATTGGTTTTACAACTTATATAATTAGGTATTTTGTCTTTTATATTGTAGAATAGTTTTATTGCCTTTATGTAAATAAATAAAAACAAATAGTACAAAAATAGCGCAACTCATATTACACGTTATTTTCCATTTTTTATTTTATTTCAAGCAGACGTAAATTAAATAATAAATTTTTACTTTAGACGTGAAACCAATCACGTCATTCCAAATGTCGCTCATACAGTGGCATTGTTTTTTTTTTTCAAAAGACCAATGATAGACCCGACAAAGTGTATTTTTGTATACATATATATCTCATGAATGTAATTCTATTAACAAGGAAAGCATTTTACACGAATATCACATACAACCCGCCCATAGCATAAGATTACGCCCCATACTAACACAGGTCACGTATTGAACATTCACTGTGACCGAACAGGGTCTCATATAAAATAATAATATCATTCGTTATACTGTGTATTGTAAAACGATCCGTCTGTCCGTACGTGTTACGGAATTATTAGATATCATAGATTGGATATACAAACATAATGTATTATGTGTTGCAGTATATATTTCATTAGAAGGGTAAGTTCTTATGGGGTAAAGTTTGAGGAAATGAGAATAAAGGGTAAGGGGTCAGAGTGAGTGAGCGTGCAAAATGAGTGTCAAGTTTTGTTCTGGCGTAGTATAGTGTGAACTAGTTTAGCTGAGTGACGTAGGTATCTACTTCATTTTTACCCACGTACTACCTAGCCCCAGTTTTACTAGATATAAAGCCTGTTTTGTGTCACCTTACTATGTTTATCACTGTTGATTATACAGGATAACTGGGTTTATTCAACTTAACTGAAGATTATTACGAAAAGTTATACTACTTTGGTGCATATTTATTAGTTATTAGAATCAAACTGTCAAAGTTTAAAAGAATAGCAATAATTTAGTAACATAATAATATTGACTACAAGATTTTTATATGTACATCGATCTAGAACGTTCATATATCATGTTATTTGTTCATAAAACTAAAACCAAGTATAAAAGAGAATATTTACTTTTAAGATGATATTACGAAGTACTTTTAAATGGTTTGAAAAATTACGACTTTCAAAGAATAAACGTTCACCGCTGACCCAGCATAACCTTTGTTCAAGACGGTATATTACCAAACTTTTACTTAAAGTATTCATAATTTGCGAGATTAAAAGCTTAGTTCAGACAAATGAAATGGTTTCGCTCACGGTGGAACTCGAAATGACAGACACGAAACGCCTCGAGGCACAGTTAGTCTTAATACAATGACAATAAAACATGGTGGACGTATTTCACGCTAAAGATTTTCCCTGTCTACGCGGCTACAACCATTTGTTATAATTTCCTGACTAAATACGCCCCAGCAAGAACATAAAAAAACATTCTTCTGCAAATTATGACAGATTATTATGTCCGCGACATAAAAATTGAAGTAATTATGGTGGCTTCAGAAGACTAAATGCATACTTTCGTAAATTCTATACTTACCGCCTGTAGATACCTTTTTTATGGTAAAAATATTTGTTTATCTTTCTTTATCTCTTACACAAATTAATAATGATTGATTTATAACTCTTCAATAAATATTTTTCCTTTTCTCTCTCGTGAGAGTATATTCCTATGCATATTTTCACATTTTATAATTTATCTCCAACTGTAATTAAAGTTCCAACTACTTATATAAAGCTAACGACTTATTCTTCTTGTCATAAAGCCAGGATTCTGTTGTTATAACGTCTGTAGTGACGGACAGAATGTAGACTGTCTATTACATCGGAAAGCTCTTAAAATGGCACCAAGGAAAGTTTATATTTCTTGTTTCTGTTAACAGTTTCGATATCATTTTTAACTTTATTATGTTTGTTAAGAAAAAGTTTGACGAGGACGTTGTTTATTTTGTTTTATTTTTTATTCTTTACAGTCAATTTATGTAGGCGCTCCGTGAAAATGATTTTGTTACTATTCATTGGATATTGGTAAGTTTCTAGTTGGATACATTTTTTCATCTATCAATCTGATGGCTGATAGGTATCAATTACGATCCATAACTATTCTAATTAAGCTCAAGTGTCATAGTCGACTGTAATAAAAGTATTTTTCGAGCTAGGGATAAAAATTGGACAAGCTTTGCCTCTATGAAAATCCACTCTCACACCCTGGGGGCCAAGTTTGGACTGTGTTTAGTGGTCAAGTCAGTCAAGTTGATGACATTGAGCAAATCTTTTTTAGAGGCTGATGGGCTGAAAGTAGGCTAAACGTAATGAAAGAATGAACCATGACCGTCGATGATTTGTAAATAGGTACGAATTTATTTGTTCAATTTCATTTGTAAGAACGTCCTTATTGTTAGGAAAGTTACAATAATACTAGCCACGTTTCAAGCCTGCATCTTCAATTTTGAAAAACAGGTTTAACTTCAAGGCTCAACAAACCTTGTATTACGAGTCGAGTCACTAGATACTTCAGTTATTTATTTTTTCTAACTCACTTTGAACATAGCCTTTCTGTACGGTGTGCAATGTCAACCCTCAGACTTTAGCAAAGGTAACATTTCCATTTGTTGATAAAAGCATAATTAATTAATTTTACAGAAATCTTAGGAAATTCCTGCGCTATTGGCAGAGCCGAGCCTTTTCGGTGTCTATGAGCGTCGGTGTAATTAGAGCCACATGAAACATTTCAGCTTTGGGATGGAAGATCTCCTGTGATTACACGGGCACCCACATTTGTGTAATTACGAACTCTTGTAATGAAACGTCTGCTTTGCCTCAGAGATGGTCTCTGGTGTCATAGACGTTAATGACGACGATCACTTACCATCAGCGTCACCTTTTAGGAACTATTTATAATGATATCACCCAGATAGGCTTAGACAATAGGCAGAGAGGCAGGCACTGTTCGGTGGAAGTCCGTAAAGCTAGCAAGAGTTAATTTTGATTAAAAGTAATTAAGTTTGATTTAGTCATGTGAAATTTTGAACAGTTATATCGTTCACAGACCTAATAATTATGAAAGCTAAAAATACATTTTAATAGTTTAGCCAGAAAACGTAACTGAAGGCCATTGTGACCCTTTCTCAACGTAAAGGAAATTAACAGCGGAAATTATAATAGCAGTAGAAATTACAGTAGACCCTATCTTTAAATTCACAGTTTCCTTTTTCGAGTAATTAGATACAACCCGAGCTGTAGTTTATATAATCGCATGCTCCCACAACTATGATATACATAAATATAATGTTGACAGGTCCTTGAGATAAGCCTCGGTGTAAAGTCCCGGACATCTCTGCGTTTACTGTCGCTTAGGCGTCCGCTTTAAGCTGTAAACCCGTAGTCTGGCCATAAAAATAGCCGTAAACTAAGAATGTCATAGATAGACTAGTTTAGTTTCTGAGTCGTAAATTGTTGGGTCTTCTGGACTGTGGTAGCTTTGATTTCTTTTTTAAGTTTTTTTTGGTTTTGGTATTTCGTCTATTAGTGTTACGTGTGCTTAATTTAGATTATTATTTATTTTCTATACTTGATAACTGTCGCGGAGAACCTAACGGGTAACCGGGGCTCCGGCTCGATGTGCAGGAGAAGGAGCGGGGTGGTTTTTAGTCAGTAAGAGTCTGACACTCCCTCCCGCCTCACCCAGGCGAGAGCAGTCATTCGATGATAATCCCCCCTTAGAAAAAAAATACTTGATAAGTACATTTTTAAATGTTTGATTAGCTCACCAGTAACGGGAGAAATCCAAGCTACCGGTGGTCAGTGCTCCAGAGAGAGGAATTTCCAGAAAGTATACGCCGTGTCCAGCAATACTGCTTTCTGCATCAGGTTCTTAACCCAACTGTCTAACGCTAGCCTACTCAGGTGTTGGTCGAGGTTTTTAGCAATTGGCATATATTATTTAGATTTTACATTATATAGACAAATTCTCAGTAGTAGCACTGAGTCTGGAATTGTGCCCGGTATATGGCAATAGCCTCACCCCCTATTACATGGGACTCATAACATAAATAGTGAAAAGAGGGTACACATTGTACAGTGGCATAATGTGCACCTCTGCCTACCCCTTCGGCGGTAAAAGGCGTAATGTTATGTTATATTATTTAGATTGTTATTATTTTGTGGTTCAAGGTCAAATAGTGTTTTTGTGTGTATAGTATTTCAATGACCTTTTTCATAATTATGATGTACTTACATCTTTATTACATACCGAGTTAATACTATGTACCAATCTATGCATGTTTTGTTCCCTTTCTAAGCGTGATGTAATTTTTATAGCTTCCTTTTATTTGTACACCAAGGTTGTTTTTTATTACGGGATCTTCCAATTTTGTTGTTTTTCTGTACCCACCGATGTATTTCCGAACATTTTGTTTTCTTTTAATTCTTTGATGAAATGAGACACAAAGTTATATAAACAATTTATTTCCTTTCCTTTTGCTGATTTAACATTTAAGTAGACATCAACAATGTTTTTAATCATTACTTTATTATGTATAGAAGAAAAGTATTGTGCGATCTGAATAACTTTAAGAATTTCCCTTCAAACAGTCTTATTATTATTTACATACAGAATAAATTCACATTGGGTATTAGTGAAATGTTAATATATGAAGTCACAAAGAAATACAGTAGATAGTTTAACTAATTTATAAGACATTAAAATTAGAAATACACAAAATCTCTTTTATTATAATAGTTAGGTATAATTGCATAATTCTCCAATTCGACTATTACAAAAAATACAAAACTTCCTTTACCTGCTTTGATACTAACACTTTAACACTCTGTATCTATTCATACGTAGTATATATATTTACGTAATACAGTATACTATCATTCTGGGAAAATTATTTACACATACATTCGTGCCTCTCAAAGAGGTAGATAGAGACACAATGTTCTACGTCTAAAATCTTGGCACATTTGTTTTAAAAGTCCGTTCACATTCACACCCTATTGAATCAATTACAGAAATCAGACCCGAAGCTACTGGTCCACATGTACTTAAAACTAATATTTCTCTTCTAAACCATCAAACAACTAAGGATGTCTTTTATCTGACAATATACACTTTTGCTTACAATAGTGTCTATGTTCCGGGGATAAATCCAAATGAACAACATTCACGGCTTTATCAAAGGTTACCCTCGGCAGTCATCGAGTCAACGTCACTTCAGTATCACTCGAGCTCCTGGAGCTCTCTTTGATAACATCTAGTTCCCTATTAGATACTGACGAATTACGAGAAAACTTATGAGCACTATATTCACTTTTTTCATCATGAATGTCATGAGCACAACCGTTTCCATAGTCTTTGATTTCATCTGAATCGTCTTCCCCTATGTCATTCACTTCCACTTCCAACAAATTATCATTTTCTTTTAGTCCGTAAGCGTTGAAGCTTCTCTCATGACTTAAACTGCGTATTCTATCAAGATTATGTTCTAAATGTTGCATGTCGTCGTCAACACCCGAATCATCAAATTTCCACTTAATATTTGAATTAAAATGTTCCACTCCGGGATACATACTTATACTATTACTTCTATGCCCGAAAACCGGACAGTTTCGGAACTCTCACAATTCCGGATGCCTACCATTACAAGTCTTGTTGAAGTTGCCCTCATCCAAGCTCAAATTTGAACGAGAGCGACCACACTCCAAGCCAGGGCTTGGTCTAAATAGACACATGTCTGAGTTCTTCAGTCTGCATTGACGTGAACAGGATTCTATTTGAAAAGCTGATCTATCGAGCTGTCTGTAATCTGTGGGGCCATAGCCATCAAAGAATCTGGGGTCTTGTTTACAAGCACTACTTGAGCAGCCTTTGAAAGAGCCGGAACATCGAAGTGGATCTCGATGGCACGCTTTTTGAATAGCATGCAGTGAGGACGATGATACAGTACGTTCTAATATCTCGCCCCAATATTTTTCACCGAGTCCTTCAAATTCTCCTTTGGAGTGTAGTCCGTCTGATGTAACGGGAGAACCACAACATCCTGTTGTAGGTTTCTCGTAGCTTGGGTAAGATTTTGATCTTCGGCAACAAACCTGTAAATACAATATTTTATTATAATTACAAGCATATTTAACAAAAATACATCATACGTTATTAGACACCAAATACTCACATAATATTGTAGAAGTTCATGACTTATCCTCCTAAAGTGGCTGTTCAACAACCAGTACAGAAAGGGGTTCCAAAAACTATTACTCAACGCCAACCAAGTCACTATGAAATCCAAAGAAGGCGGAACCTGTTTGGAACAAATACATAATCATTAATTGTAATCTATCATTCGATTGAAAAACAAGGGTTACTATTTACAATTCTTGAATTCTGAAAAGTTTTATATTAAATACGGCGCGTATTTACTTTCAAACTAAACAAAACAAAACAGTATCAAATAAGAGCACAATTGCACTGTTTATCCTCGTAATCACAGAAAGGCTTTCATTATTATTCAGTTGAGAAAGTAAGATTTCGGTTCAGAAGCCCTTTCCCTTGGTTTAGAAAAAAAACCCAAGACACTGTTTAGTAATTGCCACGTTTAGAAAAGAATTGTGTTAGACCCTTTGCCATTTGTACAGAAATTTATGTTGGGACGACGTTTTTCGAGTGGTGGTAACAACATAACAGAACGTCAAGCGTTTTATTCCTCGAAGAGGACGATACAATTGGACAGATTACTTACAGAACGTAATTTCCTCTATACTACTTTGAGAAGGTTATTTCAGACTTCGTACTATAATCTAAAATTACGCTCAACCCAACAATACTCTACCTACGCCTTGAAATCTAAAAACACTTCTTACTTGACTCATACTCGACCAAGAAAGTCAGCCATTAACAACAACTCATGAAGTACTCATACATAAAAATTTCAAAACAATAGATACCAAAGCTAAAATCCATACCTTGCAGCCGGTACAGGCCGCAACCACTTCCTGTATAGTAGCTGGAGTGACCATAACGATGAAACCTAATGACATTGCTGCCATCGTTCGTGATGTGCTCACGCTATGCGGTCTCACTGGCGCTTGAATCTGTGACAGAGTAATGAAAGCATTATCATTTGTGTTCAAAATTACGACGTCATTATGAGACTAACTAAACATGCTAGGAAACTTAAGTTCAGAAAGTAATTTCATATCATACACCAAAATGAGCCATTTGTCCGATAAATAAGGCACTAATTTAGATATAGCAATCTAATCCTGACAACACTTAAGTGGGAAAGTAATTTGATCCGAAAAATTAAAGTCAAAACTATCACTAAAACAACGTCAATTCCTGTAGGTTCATAGTATAAATATCTCAATTAAAACGTCAAGAATGTTCTCGAAATCTGTCCAGTAACAATCTTCCTTCACTTCAAAGGACACTACTAGTTCAATCAATCTAACAATTTGTAAACAAAGTCGTAATTCTAGAACTTAATGCTTATTGTTTTAGATCTAATACAATCTCAGTAACAAGGCAGTTCAATCTATTAAACGGAGTTATCACTTGTACAAAAAGAAAGGACCATATATCATAACTGAAGTACCTAAGTACATTGGTAACGAAGTTTTGAAAAAAGATTCCGAAATGGAGCACACGAGATAATATTATTTCGTTTGATACAATTACTTTGTGAGCGAAATTTTATTTATCATTTTGATTTATGAAAGCAACTTTATCTGTGTAATGAATGCTTATTGTATTTTATATTACATCTAAGGTAGGAGATATACGGCGGGCTGGCGAAACAAGTTAAACTCGTAAATTATGAATATGCGCTACGTGACCTTTTTAAGGAAACAAATATTTTTGTGTAATCGCTGCGGACATTGTTTATAATAAAATTTTCATGAATAATATTGGATGCTAGATGATTGGATTTGGATACCCAAAAGTTATTTTGATAAATTTTGAAGAAACACTCTAATTGATTTATTTTTAGGGTGATAGCATAATATTTTATTACCTCTAGTAGTACATACCACCCACAACTTATTTAAAATCTCACCATGTATGAAAATCTAATAACTTAATGGGTCCTATAAATGTTTGCTTCTATTATTATTATAGTCGACTAAATTCTCAGCTTTAGTTCATACAAGGTCAATATAGTTCAGTAAGTGTCAATTCTGCATACTTTATTTTATTATTCTCAAGCTCAATTAAATTACCACAACTTCATGTTCTCCATGTGATGTCTTCGCACAAGGCACAGGTACTCCATTAGGCCTCAAAGGCTCAGGGTCACATTTCCCTCTAGTTTTGCTGACATGGAACCCTGATCCATAGCAGTACATTAGAGCCATAGTTGTCGGGAAGTAGTAGGCACAGCATGATAAAATCCTAACAGGGATAGAAAAAAGAAACAGTTAATAATGAAATATGTAAGAGGTATTGAACAATATGAAAAATCAAGATCATTATTGAATACTCAATTGTGACAATGAATAAAATGATAACAACTAACATACATACTTCTTACTTTTCTGAAAGATCCAAGAAGTAATTCAACTCAGAAAATCGTTTTAAGTAAACATAAGAAAAACAATTACATTGGGTCCAATTACTTACATTCACTAGATCAAAAACAAAGGGAAAAATTTACGGTTTACCTACCTAAAAGCCACTCTGCTATGAAAGACATCACAAGCCATAAGTCCAGTTGAGTTGAAGTAATATCCAGATCGCGGTAGCACCATGATCGCGAATAGTGATACTGACAGTATCCACGTTATACTTATAACTAAGACGCAACCCTGTGAACAAATAAAAAGCTTTAGACTTAAATAAACATAACATAAACCTTCTTTCTCCTACAATCTCCTAAAAGACTTGGGTGAAAAAGCAGGTACGTATAGAGTGAACCACGTGTTGCCACTTGCCAGATAATTTATGGATTCCATGCAATAGGGTTAGCCCATAGGTAACTTATTGCGTATTTTAATTGTAATATAGGTAAGCATAATTTTTGTCTGAACTCCATGCCATACAACATTACAACATTTGAAACACCTCGTAACATTGACTTTGTTTCTGATTTGAGGACTCCCTCAACTAACGAGGCACTTTTGAAAACCAAAGCCAGTGAAAGAATTATAACCTTTATTGTAATAACTTTTATAACTGCCACATGTTTAATTTCCGTTTCATCATATCCACTGCTAAATTGCCCTAGCCCTTCTAATAACAATATAAATTATACATGTATATATTGTCACAGTCTGGTGAACTCTAGAAGTTAAATTATACTCTAACGTTATGAATAATAAGTCTCTTAATAGCCTGGCCACTGGACGGTCAGGGCAAGGGACATTAACTGTCTGTAATATGTCCAAACTATGGTTTTGACGCATCGTCCTAGAACAAATTCTATTTTGGTATACAGTATACCAAGTCACTTTGAATGAACAGGTTTTGACAATAGTATTATTAGACATCCAACGCTTGTTACGTACAAAGGTCAATAGATTTTCAGGCAGCTAGGAAAGTCCTATTGAAGTCTGATATAGACGTTTTGAAATTTGAATCTTTCAGATACGAGATAGGTACATCAGGACGACAATAAAGTACTATTTGCAGAAATTTTTAAGCCTCGTATATTTATTCTATGTTTGTAGACGTTACTGTACTAGGAGTATGAAGAACAGATAAAAAAGAAAAGTGTAATCCAAAGATTTTTTGGAGGAACCATTTTTTGTTAGATTCACAGTGTCATTTAGAGTTGTATCCTGTAAAATTCCCTCTGGCTCTCTGCGTATGTAACGTGTGTACAAAGTAAAAAAAGGAATTCCCTTGTGGCAGGCATCGTGGGTCTACTAAAAATAGATTCGAGTCGCATAGATACTTTTATTGAATATATGTAGCTATTGAATAAAAAACGATAACAAGTAAATACTTGAGATCACATTTGGCCTTCTTCAAAAAAGAGGTTGAGATTACCTAGGTTGAGTATCCTCACTTTTACATAATGAACTAGTTTTGTAATAATTATAGAGAATTACGACTTTCACTGAATACAAGGACTTCTCTCACAACCTAGGACTTTTCGTGCTGAGTTTTTTTTTTATGAGATAAGCGCGATCACCTGGTGTTAACCAATCGGCGTCGCCCATGGAAACCCAGAATACCAGAGGCGTTACAAGTGCGTTACCGGCCTTTTGGGGATTAAGAATTTGAGGATTGCTGCGGATTCAGGGATCAGTGATTGGGGAGATTGGGGGATAATTGGGCCTCCGGTAACCACACTCAAACGACGAAACACAACACAGGCGTTATTTCATGTTGGTTTTCTATGAGGCCGTGGTATCACTCCGGTCAAGCCGAATAGCTCTCCCACTCTTACTACCTATATCTTGGCCTTAGATCAGTATCAAAAAATATACTTAAAAAATCTAGTAGAAATTTGGTAAAAATTGTGTGTTCTATATAAACAAAGAAAATAAAAAGCGATTTACAACACAGTTCCAGATTAAATCGCAAGTGTGTACATTACACAAAAGATCTTACACAGGAGTTCGAAGGAGTTAATTTAAACATGTTCTCGTATTCAACGACCCTTTGCATCTAACTAAGTTTACTCCCGATAAAGTAACACTAATCCTCTCAAAGAAAGATATACGAAGGTAGGAACTTCACTTACAAACAAGTTTCCAATGGAACTTGAGAAGTAGGAAGACATTAGATATTTAGATGATAAACTTGTTTACTTTGGCTAATGTTGTGTTTTGAGAACAAATCTATGTTTTTATGAGGTTGCTATTGAAATATATGAAACATTATTTCTGACTGCCTCGTTGGCCGACTGGTTGCAAGTGCGACTTCGGGGAAAATTCTCGTAAATTCTCGGGTCGGGCAAATTATTACTAGGTTTTAAAAAATCTCAATAGTAGCACAGAGTCTGGAAATGTGCCCGGTATACGGGATTCATAACATAAATAGCGAAAAGTGGGTGTTGCATTGTATAGTTGTATTAAGTGTCGTAATGTTCACCTCTGCCTACGCCTTCGGGGATAAAAGGCGTGATGTTATGCATGTATTATTTCTAATGAAATAATGACAATGTCGTAATATTTGTGAATTTTTTATCTACAAAGTAATTAGATTGTTAAGTGGTTATTATAAAACGATGGTTACTATACAATTGTAATTGTTCGAAAAAAAAATAGTTGCAATCAATAATCATAACATAAAGGTTAGCAAATGTGCCAATCTTCGAATTATTTATTCTACGCTTAAAATCGTCCTTAATAGGTAATAATATATTATATTTCTCAAGAAAATTGGTAAACGATTTACCCGAAATCAGTTAGCCAGTCACTGTAGATAGAAGCCACATACGTGCGATCATTGTAACATGGAAAATAAGGAAAACAAAATGTCCACCCACTCACCTTTTTACTCGAATGTTTGTGATAGGTGTCCGGATGCAACAAGTACAAATATCTGTCGATAGCCATGCAGACCAGAATAACCGCACTCTGTTGACTCACAGCCCCTCGCAACAAAGCCTGAAATAAACAAAGTCGTTTCATTCAAAGAATCAACATTCCAAAAACTAACGTGACTTCATAAAAACATCGAAAAACAATGTTTCCGTTTATTTTTCACATTTTTGCTCAAAAGTGTAATTAGATAAAATATGGGATAATGAAGTATTGCGACAAGAAATACAATCTCCAAGAGAATTCGAAAAATACAAAACTTTATGTATCATTTCACTTTACTATAGTTTCAAACCTTTTAAAATCAAATGAAATGAACCGAATAATATTCTTTGGAAAGCCAACATCAAGAAATCAATAATGAAATGTCAAAGTATCGCCAATGTATATTTTTGTACTAAACATTTTTTCATACCCTTTACGCAACATCAAAGATAAGGAATTCTTGGTATCTATGTAAATAGCCTTGATGTTAGTATCAAAAGAGCCACTTCGTAAAAGGAATAACAAGTCAGCAAGCGTCTGGAGCCAGTTACAAAGCTGAAACTCCAACCTAACTTTGTGCTCGGTCACTATAAACCATTAGCTGATACCGCATTATGTGCTTTCATAGAAGTTTTAGCAAATTTTATTGTTCATGGATCGCCGCTTCTCTGGAACGTCAACAATTACCCTTTATAAAGTTGCTCGTCTAACTACGAACAGCCTCAAAACTGATTTTTTTGGTAAATGTTGAGAACAAAATTTTGGCTAGAATATTCTTAAATAAAATTCATCTTCCTAAATTATCATCAGAAATCAGCCGAGTTACGCATTTTTTTCTTTGACATCCGATTACCATTTAACTTTGCTTTGCCAATTGCAAACTTTTTTCCTTCGAGGCAACTTTACTCATTTTCTCTTCATCTCTTGTTTAAACAAAGTTTTGCGAGGACCTCGTAACTCCGCCTAGCTCTAACTAAATTAAGTAAGTCTCGTGAAATTTTGATGGCAAACTAATTTTAATGTACTTATTTTATTTCTGTCTACTCTTTTAGTTTTCGTTGCAAGTTCAACATTTACTTAACGCGTAAAGTTATTTTGCCACAGTTTAAGTGTTATACCAATTACTAGTTGTTGCCGCGACTTCGAGCGCGTAGAATTTTAGGACAATATTTTTTTTGGTTTAATTTTCCAAAATAATTATGTTACTATCTTACTATGTTACTCCTTAGTACATCAGCTAACTGCAAATAAAAGTCAAAATCTAAAACCCGTTGAAATCAGTCCAGCCATTCCAGAGATTAGCCAGTACAAACGGACTGACAGACAAACCAAAATTGTAAAAAAAATATTTTGTATGTGTATTCATATGCATTTAGTAAAAATCTGTCATTTTAATATTACAAACCGACAGTCCAATTGTATAGATGTAACGTGGCCTACTGATCTAGGTGCTAATGAGTTCATTAGCACCTAGATCAGTAGGCCACGTACATTGCAGTAAATTATTCAAACAATATTTGCTCTCTATTTTAGTTTTACTAACCTGTATTTGGCAGAATATCTCCCCGTATGGCCAGCACTTGTACAAAGCTGGGAGCAGGGCGACAGGAGCTATCAAGATTCCCGTGAATAAATCGTTCAGTGCGAGCGAGGTCAGTAAGTATCTTGGCTGTAAAATATGGCATCACATAAATTATTTTCGTTGAGAACTATCATTGTGAATTAATGACCAAGAAAGATGTCTTATGATGCCAAATAACTTAGGTAGAACCTAGTAATATTCAACCATTATTCAGCTGCCTAACAATGTTATTATCTGACAAGCAATTAGTCAGACACAACCAAGGTTTTATTATAATTGGCGGTTTGAAAATTGAGAGAAATCTTCACTGAAATAAGGTAAATTTCAAATTTAACAATGGGCATTCATTATGAGTGGTGACTACTAAAGGACGTTAACGACATTAATTGTCCTTAACATTCATCAAATTGTGAGGAAGACAGAAGAAAGTTGTTATACATACCTGATTGTCAATATACTTGATGTACCTCCTGTTATTTAACACGCAGATAAGAACCAAGTTTCCAAAAACAATGGACATAGAAAGAGCGAATATGAAAAATGCTTTTAATATGTCAGCTGGTGCTGGAAATGTAGAGGGCCAACCCTTGCCGTTTAGCCAACAGGAGCTGTTCGACAAAGATGGCGCTACGAGTAGTGCGCCTTTGGTCGAGTCAAACATAGTCGGCGCCTGAAGGCAGCGCAAGCTTCTCTTAAATAAGGCATTTAGATCATCTGATGTACACTGTATTCAGACTTTGGTTTTTGTTAGCAAACATAATACAATACACATAGAACTGTCATCAACACCATCATAAGTTGTTAACGGCAACTCGATTGTCTTCTGATACTCTTCTTATCTTCATGTTTAATCTGGAACAATAGAAATTTAAATTAAGTTAACGTTTTATCTCATGGGCTTAAAATAACCGAACTTCTTGTGATCGTTTGTTTTCTCTAAACAAAATCGAGCTCCAAATTAATTTATTTTATCGTTTCCAGGAAACAGAATCAATTATTCTAAACACTTGCTTTTGTAAGCCGGCAATTATCTAGTTTAAGTAAATTTCGTCATCCGAAAAAACAGTTGTTTTTCTTAATCAGGCTTTCGACGTCGAATACTATTAGAAGTAAATTGTGAAACATTCCCAACACTAAATCCCTAGTATCGCACGTTGTTACTTTAAAACATTTTATGATAGCAAGAATTCTTCGCAGTACTTTTAAGGAAGGAAAAATAAAAGATCATATATAGAGCGTGCGTGACAAGACACGTCTTTGGAATCTTTTCCTTGAGATATATTTTTCCAATCGGAACTTTTCCTTAGATTGTTGGCTAGAGCTTTGTCAATTTCCTGTAGGAAATAGAGTCTTGTGTCAAGCGTAATACGATACTATGTATACATTTTTATTCATATCAAATTAATTAATTTTTCAAAAGTATTTCTAGGTTCTAAAATTTCGACATTGTAACAACAAAAAATGTAAGGTCAATGAACGTCCTCTTTTGTATTATTTAGGAGGTTACATAAGTTGAAACAAAGCATATCTTATCATTAATCAAAGATTGATTTATAAGACTGAAACAAGAAACATAGTTCATAAACAACTTCGTAATCTCAATGCTGTCCAAACTGTATACGAAGTTGTAGACACCCTTATATCAATAAAGGAAAAAGGGATCCAGAAGCGAAATTTTACTGGCGCCCATAAATTTGTTTTTGTTCAAGAGATATATTAGGAAGTTAATGCTAAGTAGATTGATCCATCTGACGGAGAAACGGAATGCGTCCATAAAATAGTGAGTACTTCTTTTTGTATCAACAACATGTCGGTTCGTGAAGATCTTTCGCTACACCAACCTTTTTACTCTAACTAACAGGGTCAATTTGAAAGATCAATGGCGAGAGTGTTAAGGTACAAGGAAAATTGGTCCTTGTGCCAGTAAAAAATATATTAAAACGTACTAGTTTCAAAAGTATGAAGTCTTGAAGGTTATTTCTTATTTTGAATCGAATAAACATTCTGTTACACAAACTCGAGAAGATTCCGAACTAATTATTGTTTTTCTCTTATCACAAACAAACATCTTAATAGCTGGAATTGAAATCTTGACTCGACAAGTTTATTGGCCCTACTCGAGAGCCGAGACTGTAAATACAGGGAGCTTCGCATCTAGTGCCAAAGGACCAAAACATAATAAAAAACGTTCATTAAGAAGACTGGGAAGGTCGCAAGGTTCAAAATGTTTTCTTGTAGAAACCGCTTTCGAATGAAATCTAGAATGTTTACGGCTGTTTTTAAACAATTAAAAAGGAACCTAAAAGATTTAAGTGGTAACTTGATTGTTGGTTGCTAAGAAACGCTTATTTGAGTCACCTTGCGTTTTTCTATCTGATTCTATTGTTATAGAAGTTGAAGTACTTTATTATCACTTCAAGTTAATTTACAGATATTAGTTACAGAACAAAAGAAGTTATTCCTTGATTACTTACATTTATATTACCCTCAGACTCGATGATACTACTAGAACGCGTTAAAATAAATATCTAATTAATATTATCTTCAGGGTCACTCGTTGCTCGCGGTTTTCAAAGTCCAAAGTGGGGACACGACTTTATCTAAGATCAAAGAAACTGGGTCTCAGGTTTTGATGTCGCGTGTCGGTCTGACGTAAATACATACTTCGCTATACTCATTAGAGTATATCAGTAAAAGCTCTTTACATAACGAGATACCTTAGGAGCGATGTGGTTTTAATAATTATATTTAGACAGCTCGTGTGCGGTCTGCTATATAAGTGCGTCGCCTACAACTTTGACCGCATTGATATCGATCTTAAGATGATAAATAATCATGTTTATATTAATAGATGTGATGTCTTTAACTCCAAAAGGGGTAGCAATAAGTTTAGTGACATCATTATTACAAATCATACTCAAGTATGGTGTAGTAAGTTTGGAGAATCTTAGTAAAGATGTAGGAATAAGGTGTGTGTTACACAGCCTATAATGATACATGGAACATGGTCCCGACCCGAACTCAATAGTTTTGTTGGAAATGTCAAAGGTAATAATGATAATTCAACATCATAGTAGTTACGAATATTGATTCCTACATATAACCTTAACACATATTAGGTATCTATCTATGTATAAACTGTATCAATATAATTGGTACCCAGTTCTAATTTTATAATACACAAAATGACTACAACGTGTTGAAAAGATGCTTGGAGCACTGCGGGCGTCCACTTACTTTTAGTAGTAGCGTTTTATTACTCACGGAAGAGTTGGGGTCGTGGATTATAATACTGGTTTTATGAGCCCAGAAAGAATATAATATGTTACGTTATTTTTCTTTGTGATAAAGGCTCTTGAATTTTGACACAAATAAAAATGGTAACGTTGAAACAAAACATACTGCAATTTCTAGTTTTAAAAACTCAGACGTAAGATTTTGACTATTTTTAAATTTTTAGTTTCACAAACAAAGATCAAATACTTATCCTTTAAAAAACTGTGGTAATAAATACATAGTTGCTAATGCAACTTTCAAGCAAACATAAACGTTCACATTTCTGTAGTAGATAAAGCAAAAAAAAGTTAATCATATAATACATCTTACAGACAATAGTAGTGCATTACTGTTTCTTTTCAATTAAAATTGTTAAAGTAACATTTTGAGTATAATCCTCTAGCAATACAATAAATCGCGACCAATGAGAGCCATGGTTTAATATTACCAACCTGTAAATTATACCCCCAAAATTCTGAACTCATCCTAAAATTTATAATAACTAACTACACTTAATGTTTCACGAATAAATTCCACACAAAAACAATAAAAGCCGCCAAAATAAGTTCCATTATATTGTTGCGATAATATCCCCGCTTCGGGCGAACTTAATGCCACATTTGGCGACAACGTGTCTGGCCCCAACGGTGACCTTTGTTTTGGTTTTCATATTTTTATTGGGAACGAGGCTTGAATAAAAAATGTACATACTTTTTTATTAGTTCTTCAAGTGTATCTTGAAGGAATTGTGTACAAGTGAAGACGTGTTGCGGTTACTTATTGGTGGTTGCGGTAACAACGTGATAGAATAAGTTTTGTTTAATGATATCATTGTTATATCCATTAAATGGAATCATAAGTTCATAAGTAATCTAAGTGTGGGAGAGCCATGATTCGGCGTGAATGGGCCGGCTCGACCGGAGTGATACCACGGCCTCACAGAAGACCGACGTGTAACAACGTTGTGTTGTGTTTCGTCGTGTGAGTGAGGTTACTGGATGCCCAATTACCCCTCCTTCCCTTTCCCCAATTCCTGACTCCCAACAATCTTCAAATCCCTAATCCCAAAAGGCCGATATCGCACTTGTATTCCAGGTGTCCATGGGTGACGCCGATTGCTTACCATCAGATGATCCGTCTGCTCGTTTACCGGCTTATCCTATAAAAAAAATATTAAAAAATGGTGCCTAAAATTGGATTGATAATACCTAACAATTCTTCGAGGCTAATATATAAAAAACTAAGTAGCGTCGCTTCAATGGGGAATCTGTTACGAGATCGTTGTGAAACTGTAAAACATGCTTCAATAGTTCCAACAAAATCTAATCAAAAACATATTTCAACATGACCTAGCAGAAATGTGTCAAAATATCCGCATTTGAAAGGGATATTTTCCTATCTAAAACTATTTTTAAAATCTGCACTCAGTCATGCGTTATTTCAAGCTTAACTTCCATCATAGAATGTTCCGGCTATCAAACGGCCGGGATCCCTGCACAATCTTTTGCTGACACAGTTCTGCATGCGCCAATTCCACTCAGTCCATTTTATGATGCAGATTTTTAATAATATAAAATGTAACTTTTCTAGGAAATTTTATTAATTGATATGTATAATCTGATTTTATTTTATATTGGAAGTGGATTTCGTTCATACATTAAACAAATAAGTACATATATTGATTGAAGCATTACCAAATTGGAAAGGATATGACAGATTTTATGAAGATTTATTTATTTTATTAGTGTTTATTTATTTATCTTTATATCACAAATAAAATATATTTTATAATCTAAGCCCCATAAAACCGTTGCAATTTCTTTCACTGTGGGGTCAATGAATAGAAATAGAACTTAAATTATTTCTAAATAATATAACTTTAATTTACGTTGAAATCTATTTGAATTTGTTTCACTGCTTGTGCCTATTTTCAGACTATTCAATAGATATAATATTCTCCTTTTTAATGTTCTATTACAGAAGTAGCTCACCAGCTGTGACCATCACTCAGAGTGGTGACTCTGAGTACATTGAATCTACCAGCAGCCATACATTTATTTAATTTATCATCAGAAATTAAGCGATATCGACATGATACAGAGATAGATTATTATCCTGAAAACGACAGTTAAAGCCGTCTAGCAGAAATAAGTATAGATATTATAATCATAAAAAAACTACATACCAGACAGTACATAGACTCCACAGTACACCAGACCACACACAAGACAACGATCAACCACAAACGGATCAACACCAAACCTATAATAGTTAATCACACTGTCACTCGAGAAGCCATCCTTACCTCAACACTCAGTGTTAAATGTCGCATTAAGACGTCGCTACCGTAATTAGTATTGCTAGTGCTTCAGGGTAAATTAATTTAGAAATTAGGCTAGCCACTGACCTGTAGATAGATGCTTATGTAACTAACTAAATGCCTTATGCTAACATTGTCGAATTTCATACATAGGAAGTAATTTTTCATTATTTTTTAATATATGGTGTATTGTGGTGTGCGAGATTATGGTGTGCATAAATAATATCATGTCTGAGTTAAGTAAATTTTAATAAGG